CTTTCAAGATTATTTCAGCACTGGTCGCCTATGTATTTCCCTTGGTAATCATTTACAGTTAGAATATGGCCAATTATCTCTTCCAACTGATCAAATACAGAAAATGTTTCTTTAAGTATTGTCCTCCTTTGTTTTTTGACATAAATCATGACATAGGCGACAAGGCAACTTGGTACTGGGCGCCGCCATTATTATTTACATGCACAGGGACTTGGTATTAATTTCTAACCCTCAGTTCACATATATGTATTATATAATGTATGATATAAAACAAATATGTGGACCATAGGATGGTAATTCGTGCCAAGTCCCTGTACCAGGTTCAATAATTTGAAAGCTTAGAGAACAAGGCTAAATCCGCTAAGGTTGAATACATGAATATGTGAATACAAAATGATAGCTTGGCTAGCCATGATGAGATGTTACAGGCTGGACAGATAATGACAACAAAAACAGGCTGAAAACATGTATGGAATGTGTTTTTCTTAAGAGAGTCTGTATAAACACATTATCAATATGTAAAATTATGATGCAAGTCCATTTTACCCAAATTACCTGCCGTTATTTTCAATACCTTCAGTTCATCTATATTCCCACATTGTTCTCTGTATAAGGAATAGGAATCAGTTAGTTTTTTGGGTTTCATAAATCCTCGCAATCACATTTAAGTCATATGTATAAGAAAGGTCTGCCAAATATCTGATTCTTTGACAACTTTACTACAAATATATAGCAGGAGTTGAGCTTTCTATATCCACTGTACTACACTTCATATTATTTGTTGACATTTTTCTGCTTCAATACATGGAGTTTCCTCAAAAATTGCTGATAACCGAAAAGAGTCGGAAACCTTAATCATATCTTTTAGAGTACTGTGTTTAAAAAAAAGGTTATACATTCATGTATCTCTTTGATCCACTAAACATCAACAAACAACATTTAAACCCTTCATTCTCTCAAGCTGTGATTAAAAGGATTGTAAAATAAATATGTGTTTGCTTAAATGTTAAATTATTTCTGTTTCAACATTCATATTTACAGTGGTGTTCAAATCAACTAATACATAAGTTGACATAAAATTGTACTGCAGTATTTTTTGGTCTGATTTTTGACAGCTAAATAAGGATCATCAAGAGTCATTGACCTGTCAGAAGTTGAAGTAGCCGAATTTATTTGACGTTGGTGTAGAAGCATCCTAAAAATAGCAGAAATTCAGATCTGGATTTTCACCAACTTGAAGAGTTGTGCTCCTTTGTTTGCTTTCCTATACATCTTATTCTGGCAGTTTATCATTCATATTTTTATTTTTCCATTTATTATTATATACATCTGATGAGAATGGGAGATATTTAAAACTGCACAAAATTCACCAAGAAAGCTGAAAGTTACAAAAGGCCAAAAGGTGAAACTTTACACCATGCAGGCCAGGTTTGAACATTTTACTGTAATGTTTGTTTTACTTTCTATGTGGGGAGGATTTTAAATGCATCTCGACTGTTATACTAATCAATTAATTTTCATTTAGATGGTGTCCCTGAGAATCATTTCTTTTATAATTCAAAATTTGTTTCAAGTAATATTCATACTCTCTGTTTTAAACTAGGAACACTTGCTATGCACTCTTAGTATTTGTGTAGTTATGATTGATTGTCTTCCTTTTGATAATATTCCTGTGAGTTGTGTCCCTCACACCAATTCCTCACATTCCTTTCTGTTATATATCGGATAAAGTTTGTTTCTTCTATAACTTCCCAGTTTCCTTTTAGATAAAATATGTTATGTTTAGGTGATTTTTGAGAATTGGTGGTTTTGCGAAATTTGCTTATTGTTTTGCAAAGTATCAATATTTTTATGTTTATAACATATATAGGGTGCTCCCATAGCTACCACTTTCTTTAAAATGTAGATTTTCTTCCCGCTGTTTTGGAAAAAAATATCCAGACATTTTAGATAGTTTTGAAGTTTTGCTTAAAACTTACCATACTGACAATGTCAGACAACTTCAGACATGCGAAACATATAATAATGTGTAATTCTTCTTGAATTTGGTGTACAGATAGATCTTGAATAGACAGATCTATCAGATCAGCACACATTACTTAAATTGGAGTTTACATGAAGAGTTATGTCCCTTCACTTTCATCGAATCTGTCAAAATCTGTCAAACAATAATTTACATACAACAATGTACATGGGATGGGGATGGGGTGGGGGTGGGGTGCTAAAAGTTGGCCCCCTGAAGAATCGGGGATTTTCTTTCATGTCTACTACTTGGGGCACATTGAACATACCTAAATAGATATTCTGCCCCCATTTCAACACATTTTAGATCTTAAATCTTTTCTATCTTTCTTCACTGTTCTGCCTTTCTTTGTCGTGCCGCCTGAGAAGCATGGCGAACAATTAAGGATCACTCTGTCCGTCATCACACGTTGCGTTGGCGGCGGCAGTCACATTTAAGTTTTCCATACTTTTTTGCGCCACCATTTACCATATCAATTTGTAACTTTGTATGTGGCTTAATCATGATAGATTACAGATCAAGTTCGAACCACGTGCCAATATTTTATCTTTTTGCTGGAGTTACATGTATGGCCCTTCACACATTGGAAGTTCTCATAATTAACTGTTTGCAATACTTTGTTCGTTATCGCTTGCCACTAAGTATGTGGCTTTATCATAATCGGACATTGTTGTGTTTCAGGGTTCCAAGGTCAAGGCCAAGGACACTGCTGCTATATATAGAAAATCATCAACTGATTCAATTCAAACACTTAGCAACTTCATCCAATATGTTATGGACATGGTAATAACATACAGAAAAAAACGTATTGAATATTCAAATCAACTTATCAACTTTAAGTGTAGTACCTTGTGTGTGTGCATCAAAGTGGTTGTAACTTTTTATAGAACACTGAAACTAATTTCACATGGAAGCGGGGGCATTTATGTCCTACAGACATTTTTTAGTCTCTGTAAAACTCTTCTTCTCAATAACCTAGAGGCCCAAAGACCTGGTATTGGGCCGGATGCGTGCTGGGATGATGGGCTATCAAGTTTGTTCATATAAGTGACCTTGGCCGACTTTTCCAGGTCACAAGGGTTAAATGAGGTAAAATGTTTAAACATCTTATTTTAGATAACCAAGGGCCCAGAGACCTGATAGTGTGCCTGAAGCATGCTTGAATAAAGGATTACCAAGTTTGTTCAAATGAATTATCTTGCCTGCCTTTCAAGGTCACAGAGGTCAAATGTGCTAAAATCTTAAAACAACATCTCAATAACTAAGAGGACCATGATAATGAGCCTATAACATGCCTGGGTGAGAGACTACGAAATGTTTTCAAATTAATGACATTGACCGACTACTAACATCTTTAAACAACTTTTTCTCAATAACCAAGAGGCCCAGATGTACCTGATATTGGGCCTGTAGCATGCTGGGATGAAGGCCTACCAAGTTTGTTCAAATGAATGACCTTGACATACATCCAAGGTAACATGGGTCAAATGTACTATATTTGAATAAAGTGGTAATGAGCTTAGCATCCACATAAATGACCTAGTACAGCTTCAAAGATGCATTAGAAGCAAATGAGTGACACAGGCCCATTGGACTTCTTGTTTAATTTCTGCACAAGATCTTCAGTGATGTTGGTTGGATTGCTTTTAGACTTTATTAAGTGCTTTTTTGAAGAAAGTGCTTGCGTTGAATAGCTTTTTAGGCCCGGCGGTCAAAGATCAAGGTCACTGTTACCATGAATAGAAAATTAGTTTAGGCACAATATTTCCAATTCTGTTGGGATGATTACACTCAGGCTTTATCAAGTGCTACCTCGGAGAAAGTGCCTGCTTTGGTGCTTTGGTGGTGAAAGGTTAAGGTCACTGTTACTTAAGAAAGTATTTGCTTAGGATACAAATTGTAGCTTTTGAGGCATCAATGTAAAAGTTCAAGGTTAATGTTACTATACATAGAAAAACATTTCATGCACAATATTTGGAGCTCTTTGGGCCGTATGCACTCAGACTTTATCCAGTGTAATAAAATGTGTGCTTAAGCTTTTTGATAGCTTTCCAGGCTCGGGGAATTAGGTCTCTATCAGTTTATAAAATGAACTACTTATATTTTGAGTTCTGTTGGGCTGATTACACTCAAGACTTTATCCATTGATTTTATAAAAGAAAACACTTGCGTTCACTAGTGTTTGCCATATGTATACCTAGCCACAGTTTCTTTTAAATCTTCAATAAACATAATTATGTAGAATAGTCACGGCGGCATTTAAAATATTTATTTAAATCTTATTACCGGTTAGCTTGTAATAATAATAATAATACACAACATTTGATGAGCCACTCTAAAGAGCTTTAAAGTACATTGATATACAATTTATACAATTAGCAAATACATTAATCATTACAATTTTTAAGAAACTCGCAGGAGCTGCCTTATCAGGCGCTAACTACTAGTCCTATGTCACCTGGCTAATATATCCCTATGTGTGTATACCTGCGTGTATGCTGGAGATGGCATTTTTGATAGTGCCACCAGACTTGAATGCTACAGCACAGATACCGCAACATCCACCCCAGACCATTTTATACTCCACCTCTATTGTTGAAGTTGTGTGAGCAGGAGAAAAACCCTTTCTCTGAATATTCCATGCGTTTGACGACTTCGAGGATCAAACACCGGCCGCCTGCGTGGAAAGCTGAAGTGTTAACCACTCGACCAATCCGCCCACATAAATCACTATTGAAAGTTGTCACTGGAGAATTTCTAGTATACAACATTTCATTGGATACCATATATTTTGACTGATTAATATGCTGAGATTTGTGAGTCTGGGAATAAGACAAGGTGCAGTATCTGTCCTCTACTATTTGATATATAGAAATAAATTACAGGAGAGAAGTTTAGGGTCTCTAAACTCTAAAAACTTTAGTTTCCATACGAAATATACGATATGTTATAAGAATTATCTCCCTTTGATAAATGTAGGGAACGTTATATTATGTATAAAGATTGCTTCACTTGTCCCTATTCCTAAGCTTAATAAACAATCATATCCTCAGCAACTAGAATGTATAAGAGTAATTAATTATGCGTAAATCTGCACAGATGACAATGACCAGCAAACATAGTCTTAAACATGTTATTATAACGTCATGTTTATGTGATCTACTCGATTTACTTGCAATTAAAGCACAATGGAGAACTTTTTTTGCCAAAAATAACACTAAGACATGTATTGTTGTAATAGAGCATTGATTCAAATGCCAACGTGAAAAGCATTTAGCAAAATGTTTTTTATTCAAAAGGGGATGAAGTCAGGGGTGGCAGTGGGCATATAAAACAATGAAAATTGCGAAGCAAACTTAGGTGAATAGTTCAGAAAATAGAAATTGACGTTACGTGAATTTTTATTCCAACTTAGTCACGTGACATAATACTAAAGTAACAAAGGAGATAACCAAGTTATTATTAGATTACATATCCACCTCCAACGAAACATTGAATACAAGCACATAAGTAAACAGGTTGAAATGTGAAAACAGAAGTTATGAATTCCTTAATGTAAACATAAATACAATGATAGCATCGTCTTTATGTGATCTACTTGAAATTCACCGGTGACTCTGCTAGGTTTTTGCCAAAACTATCACCAAGACATGTATTGTTGTAATAGACCATTTATTCAAATGCTAAAGTCTAATATCAGTTAATATGTATGTGCATAATACATTTTTTGAAATAGGACCATTATAAGCACACTTATTCCATGGAAACTAATAAACCAATCAAAATGGTTACGAGTATTTAATTATGCATAAATTTGCAAGGATCACATTGACCAGCGAACTTAAACATGTTAAAATGTATGTGCACACCAATTTTGGTTGAAATAAGACCATTTTTAGCGTAGGTATTGCAAGGAAACTGTAACGTGACAGACGGACGGTCCAACTTAATATTTGTTTCGGAAAGCGGAGGATAAAAGAAGTACAGTAAAATACAACGTTTTTTTACATTACGAATTACGGAAACTCAATGTTTTTAAATGGTAAAACCATGCTGTCCTCATGTCATTTGGATTTGCATAGAAATGGGAAGCTATTGTAGTGTTGAATTGTTCATCCTCAAAAGGAATACGCTTTATTATGTGGATTCCTGAAAGATTTATCGGCTTCACATCGAGTTTATAAACAATAATTGCTAGAAAAACGTCATCAAACTTAAAATGCTTGGTAAATGGGATAGCAATCTGGAGTTTTTTTACGAATTCCATTGACAAGATAACGGCACCGGCACTAATGAACGGCGGATACTTGTCAAAGGGATAGACTTCATATGGCATATACCATTTCTGAGTTGGGCCTCTCTGTGGAATATCGTCAAACACGTAACCCGCAAAGAGAGAGCGAACTGTGCTAGATGGTAGTCCGTGCAGGTACTCCAAAAGGAAATCCGTGGCAACGTAAAAATCATCATCCACCATCATAACAAATTTAGCTTTAGGACAATATTTTACACACCAATTGATGCCTCCAATAGTTTTGTATGTGTTCCTGTAATAGTTATCAACATACGTCATTTGGAGGATATCGTTATGCGTCTCCTCCTCCAATGAAAGACGATCATTTATTGATGCATTCGTAGTTAGTGCAAGCAGAAAGGCATGACGGATTATATCTTGCTTGAAATATTTCCTGTTAGCCCAGGTTTCCCTGATAGCTTGTCGCTGATCGAAATTTCCCGGTGCAGACTTGATCATAAACAACAGTGTTATTTCTTCCTTTGATTCACAAATATTTTCTTTTCGTTTTACATACGTATACGGATACACATTGATAGGTTTGACGGATGTTTTACCTGTTTTGCTGATGTTGATAATGACTTCTCTTAAGTTGATGTCCAGAGGATAATGAAACATATGAAAAGGAATCTCTCTCTTATCTTTTGAATACTCACGTATGATGAACGTCATAGCAAAGACGGTAAGTGTAATAAGAAATATCGTACCAGTTTTCAAACATCTGCGACGCAGGATTTTCATGATGATGTTCGATTATGGAAGTGTTATATAACGTCCTTGAACCTTAAACTCCTTGTAATTAAGAGTAAACTTTTACTGAATTGTATATCAAAGCGATTACAAATGAGCTCAGCGTTACATAAATCTATGTTACGTCCGAGTAGTCTCTAAAATATTGTTTCTTGTTTATCCCGATTTCTGACTTCGATATTCGCGGGAAGGTGGGTATTGTTGATATATTGTGTTAGTTTGTCTATAAACTTCGCAACTTATATAACGCCACTTCATCAAAGTATACTCTGCCTGTATTCAAGACTAAATTCGGGATGTTAGAGCACTCAAATAGGCGTATAGTTTGTGTTTATAAAATCTGCATGTATTTGTATCACAAATGATTTGAAATATCAAATGTATCAAAATATGTCAAATCAATATGTATCATTAATTCTCCACACAGCTGTTGGTTCCGCGCATGATGTGAGGTAGTACACCTGATGTAGTTACACTTCTCGAGATATTTGCGTGTGATCCTCCTATCCGTCTTGAAGTGTGTCGAGAGTAGTAGAAGCCGATCAGTTGTTCTTTCTTATGCCTTCGATGGAAATATCCAGTCGTCAACAGTTAGTGTGTCTGGAACAGTGGACAGAAAATAAAACATCGATCGGTTATTATTTTTTCAAATGTCACAACGCAATGTTCGATATCCTACAAACTTACTGTTAATCTAAACTTTTGCATTTCAGATATCTCGAAACACTAGAACAATTCATTCCATAAACATACACTACCATTCTACAGAATCCGTGCATGTAGGCCCTGTATCCTAATGCATGGTTGTACTACAAATTATGTCGTGACCAATTCCGTGTGCTGGCTAAGACCATACCCTCCTCCCTCACTCTGTATCGATCTACCCCTGCCCCGCTCTGCCCCGCTCTGCCCATCGTACTGTCCTGCCTCCTATTTATCTCCCCATGTTCCAATTTAGCTGAGGTGTGCATCTCTGTTCCGGTCAACACCAAACATGTCAGTAAGTTGTAGCTATCTCTATTTACCGGATCGTGAAGATGAAGGCTGTTTTGTTTCTGTATCAAACATCCAATTAACCCCATGCACTAATATGATCTGAGAGATGGATTTCTGTTCAATATATCGGAAACCAATTATTATTGGGTTCGCTTGTCCGTTAGTTGATTGCCCAATAGCCAGGCCCTAATTAACGGTAAATTTAAATAGAACAATTCTCCTACCAACACAACACCTTTGGCTGGTAAGCCCATCATATCAACATGTTTCGTTAAATTTTGGTGGGGTTGACTTCGTCGCATTGACCTTGAATAATATTGAAGGTCACAGGGTCAATTTGAATTTTTGAATAGCCAAAAGGTCAAAGGTTTTTGATATTTAGCCAGTAACATCCTTGCATAATAGGCTACCAAGTCTGTTCAAATGAAAGACATTGACCTATAATTAAGGTCACAGGGGTAAAATATGTTTTAAACAACTTCTTCTGAATAACCAAGTGGCATGGGGTATTGATTTTTGTCTAGAAACATGCCGGAAGGAAGAACTACCGAGTTTGTTCAAATGAATGACCTTAACTTATATTTAAGGCAACATAGGTTTAATATTTTTTAACGACTTTTTCTGAATAACAAAAATGCCAAGGGTGATATTATATGGTCAGTAGCTTGCTCGTTTGAAGAGCTACTGTACCGAGTTTGTTCAAGGGGTCTATTATCTTAAAAAACTTTCAAACAAACCAATCCTGAATGACTAAAAGGCTTTGGGTGATGATATTAAGACAGTAACATCCTTTAGATGACGGGCTACTAAGTTCAAATGAATGACTTTGAATTATAGCTTTGAAATTTGAATATTGAGCCGGGAATTCTTCGAACAATAGATGAATAGAAACAAAAGACGAAGAATAATTAACTTCCCTAAAGGTAATATGAGAACTATATGCACGTAACTTTTCAGCGAGTACACTTCTGTGTCAAGCTAAAAATGTAACTGGAAAACATCTGTTTTCATTTTGATATTTTATTACCAACGCTAATGCTTGGCGATGTCAAAAGAAGATAATTATGTTGCAACAGTTTTAACATGACTACTAGCATTAATGCCAAATAAGTTGTGTCACAATGATTCATCTATCGATTGGACATACTTTTTTATAATTTCATTTACATTTAATAATGCAGGTAAAACGGACACATGCAGGCCGAGAAAAAATAGAACACAATGTTGCAATTAATTATGTACCGGTTCATCACCAATTCTGTCTATACAATCCCAGAATTCTTTAATATTTCCATCTTTAAAAACACAATTTTCGATTTATTTATTCATAGCACATTTTATGTAATGATGAGCGTCCGTCCGTTCGTAATTTACACTTCACACTTGGTATGCATGTACATTGTATCCAAAGACTGAGGCTAAGTACGAACTAATTAATTAGACTATTGTGATTTGATTGGTTCATTTCAAAACTTTTAGTTTCCGTAAGATAATTTGCGTAAATATCGTTATATTTTTATGAAGCCTGGTATGCATGTACATTATACACAAACTGAGGCTACGTTCGAAGTTCGCAAAATCCGCGCATACGTTATCACATGTATCATACTGAGCCCTGATTGGTTGACGGTTTCTGCACAATAATTACGCAAATATGACCGGATTTAATATCTGTATTATACAATGCTAAATGATAAGCTTAAGGTGAGCAAACCCTGCACATAATGTATTACATGTGGCATACTGCTTTCTGATTGGTCGACGGTCTCCGCATTACTGTCAAATACAAGAAAGGATGCGTACCCCTTTTTGGACCCGGTATATCCGGATTTTTTCGTCCGTAGTTTGCTCTAAGATGTCTTATTGCGCAAAAGCTAAGGCGAACGCTTGACCGAAATATGGTTTTTAGGGTAGCAAAAGGGGAAGGGGAAATCATTGTTTTCACAATGAGCAAAAACAACCAAAACAATACCATTTCTGTTTTTGGAAATATGTGTAAATAAAACAGGCATATATTATAAAATGAAAAATGACAGAAATTAAATCGTCAATTATAGATTGTTTATATAAAATAGAGGATTACATCATGGGGTTGTTTTAGGTAATTTTCAAATGAAAAGTGGTTGTTTTCTTAATAATTTCCTTTCTAATTTATATTTTGATTTGAAATTTACAACTTTACTCGTTTCCGTACACTTACATAAAATGTATATTCACTACATACTTTCCTTTTGTTTTACACTGAGTTGTGGCTTCTGGACACATCTCAAACTGGCAATTTCAAATATCTCTCAAACTTACGTGAATTAAAAGGGACATCCTTTATATGATATAAGTATCAGATATTAATAGTTAATATTGTATAGAATATATTATGTAATATTTGCTCAACACCTGAAGTAAGTTCTAGGTCCTGATTTGTTTTCTTGATTATCAAAGTTAACTTACAAATAAAACAAATCGCATTTGCCACCACAACTACTAAAATTATTAATTTAATATATTTAACTTGATTTGCTGGTACTTTCAAGTCTCCAATACTCAAGGAAAGTGTCTGTTTCAATCGTTACAGTTAACCCATTTCATTGTTTTATTAATTGTTCTGCCAATTTCCAATAATAAAGGCTGGTTGTACATTAAAGGCACTTTAGGATAAGCATGCACCTTGGCATAGATATTTATCATATGATGATATTTGTTTTGTGAAAGTTTCATACTTATCTAACAATGCAATTCAATGATGGAATTTCTGTCATTTTCATTCTTTTATACATGCCTGTTTAATTCACACATGTTTTCAAAAACAGAAATGGTAGTTTTTAGGTTGTTTTAAGGCATTTTGATTTACCCTACCCCTTTTACTACCCTCAAAACCCACTTTCAGTCAAACTTTTGCCTTAGTTTTTGCGCATGTGATACAATAAGACAAATTAAGGAGGTGAAAATCCGGATATACCGGGGGCCAAAACGGGCCTTATATACACGCATCCTTTGCCAGTTCATAACGGATATGTGAAATGTATATGTATAACTTTAGCTTAAGTTGGTAAAGTATATTGTGTTCTCTCATTTCACAAAATTCCAGGAAAAGTCCCTGAATTTACCGAGTATTAAAATTGTTGTTTCTCCTCCTTACATTTCTATAGTTTCATACATTCAGATACAAAAATGCATCAGAGGGATTTTAAGTATGTCCGATTGGCATTGGACGAGCGTATGTTGTTCTTATTTGCGGTCCTCTCGTTGTAACATAGCAATGAATTTGAATGAAGAAACTTCTTGATATTTTGAAACCGATTAATATATCTATCCATATGTATTAACAAATACGCGATGTTCTATTCCAGCTGTATATTAAAGTTTTGATTGAGACATGATAGTTAGTCTGTAAACTAGACGATAAAGTAAATGTCAAACTGACCCATTTTTCTTTAAACAACAATGAAAAAATCTATCAAACTGCTTAAAAATATTTGACAATTATGACTGTAGTATGACTTTGTGATACAAATACAACGGTTTTACATTTACATTAATCGGTTTAGGTGCTGTCAGTATATAATTAATATGTTAGAGATGAAGTTCATTGTAACTCAACACCCTCCTAAGAAGAATTGCATATATAATTTACATGATGAAATAATGCAATACATATTCAACATCTCGTCTTTTTCATATTCCGCATATCATATCAAGTTCATTATTATAGTCCCACTAAGTTTAAAAAAAGTATCACCCCATACCCCAAAAATCAAACGAAACGTATGGAGGCATATGTATCGTGGCATATGAGGGTGAACACTGAGGTAATGAGTACCATCATGTTAACATATATTACTACCATCGGAAACATACGACATTTAAGTCAGTTACCTAATAAGGCAAAAGAACGGTTCTATATGTGCGTTCATTCATGATTCCAATGAATGTTTTTAATAATGCAGGTCAAATTCTCAAATGTAGGTTGAATTTACCTAATTAGATGAAACAACAATTCTGGGTTCATTTCTGAACCCAAATGCAATTTTCAATAATGTACGTAAATTGTTCAGAAGTGGGTCAAAATTACCTAATTAGGTGAGAGAAAAAAAACAGTTCTAAGGTCACATTGAACTATTTAGGTGAAACAACAGTGTAAAGTTTATTTCTGAACCCAATGATACTCTTTAGTAATGTAGGTCAACTTTTCAAAAGTATGTCAAATTTACCTAATTTAGGTAAACGGAATATGCATATTTCTGAAACCCATGATAATTTCTGTTAGTGTATTTAAAATATTCAGAAATAGATTCGGTCAGGCGTCATAGGTTAATGAGATCATTTTGGTACTTCGGACAAAGTAAGAGTCCATTTTCAACGGTTTAGTTTTCAATGGCCTACACGTCTAAAATTGTTCTCTCAACGGCTCCCTGGTTCCATTTTCAACGGGGGTCAAATTTCAATGTTACAGGGGCAACAATACTAACAGCGTAATAAATAGAGGATCTAGCACGAGTGTTCATGTTATATTGAATTTATTGAACGAGTATATTAATTTCATATGAAACGAGCCTTTGGCGAGTTTCATATGAAATTAATATACGAGTTCAATAAATTCAATATAACATGAACACGAGTGTTAGATTCTATTTATTATATAATTCGAGAAACCTACCTACATAAGTGGTTTCAATACTAACGTCTCTATATGCAATGACGACGAGAAAGGACGCATCACATATACTAATTTGAGAGCATGTTCCGCTAACAAAAGTAGTCCGCAGAATTTTATCAGAATAATAAATGGCCAACAGTTTTACTTTTAACGATCATTTTAATTGTGATAACAATTGAAATAATAAAAGTTTACAAAATATGACTTCTTTTTTTTCGCTTCGGAAAAAAA